GGCTGGAAGAAATTGCAGCTCTATGCTTGGCAGAAAGCAGGGTGGCCACTGAAGAGCACTCAAAAAATGTCCTTGATATTCAGAGCTGTTTCCAAGCTCAAGTTCAGGTTGAAGCGGATCTTCTCTCCTGAATACTACCAGAAAGCCAAGTTGTAATGCCAAAGCCTCTTGCATTACCACCCAAAGGATAACACACCCAAAGTCCTGCCTGGCGAACGGAGGTATTTTAATGCCTAGAAAATTTCTGCCATTGACTTTGAGAAGGATGGCACCATGCTACCAAACCCCACGTCACCAGGACTTGCTCTCCTGAAGGAAAAGGGAGCAGTTCCTGTCTGTAAGGTCTCCAATGAAGAGAATGTTTCAAGACGTTAGCTTGAAAATCTCTTGTGAACTCATCATTCATTTCCCAGTGAGGGTATTTTGCTACAGATTGACATAGGTCCATAGAAGATTATTCTGGATATGCCTATATTGGGTGGTGAGAGATCTGGGAAATTTGGAAGTGATTATGGAGTTTTCCAACTGACAGCCTAATCATAGAATCATAGAATAGTTAGGGTTGGAAAGGACCTTAAGATCACCTAGTTCCAATGGCAGGGGGCTGCCATGGGCAGGGACACCTCACACTAGACCATGTCACCCAAGACCCCTCTTCAAATGGCTTCTAACTGTGGCTACAAATACTACTTAACCACACTGTAAACTGCATTTCTCTAATGTGGGTAGGTGTGTGCTTTTCGGTCAGCAAGTTATGCAGGAGAGTGAAAACCAATCAGCACTTAGGAAAAATGTTGTCTCACTGACATTTGCACTTCTCCTCCATAAGCTGCCAATGAACACCCATCATGCTGGTGGTACACCGTCCCCTTAAGTTTATATAAGCTGCTGCCTGGGAACATTCATTTAAAACACAACCATGTGGACTTAACAATACCTGAGACTGCTCTTTGAGTTGGTATTTGCTCGTCTTCTCTCTCTGGGAAGAAAGGGGAGGGTTAACAACCTGCTTGAAAGATCTCTGCTAGTACAGGCGAGTGCAGAGCATTTGGGACTCAGACCTTAACTGCCACGACTGAAATCAAAACACAGCTCCTGTGTGGGAGAAAAAGCAAGCTGCTAAGTGACCCTGAGAATCCCTGCCCGATCTCTCTGGAGAAAACAGAGAGACTGCCTGAGACTTGCAGCATCCTCCACATCTTCCCTTGCAGCCACCACAGCCAAGTATCACCTTTGTGTTTGTCTCTGAGAGGGACCAGAGGAGATGCAAGAGACCAGATTTGAGGTCAACGAGGAGAGAAGTGGAAAATGAGAGAGAAAAGAGATAGATGGATGCCAGCAAAAGTCACCAGACTTCTCCTTTCTCCAGCATACTGCTCCACAGGAATCATAATCCTGAATACTGTTCTATGTATTAGACATACTTGAGTCAGATCTTGATTCACCTCAGAGACTGTGATGACCTTTTCTGCAGGGGTTTCTATGTGGAACCACAGCCTCAGCCAAAGTTGGGGTTAAATCCCAGTCAAACCAAGGGGATAAGGCACTCTCTGTATGGGCAGCTGGGGTCCCAAACCCACAATGATTTCCCAGGACCCACAGCAGAGCTACGAAGATGCTACATGGAGTTACTAAACCATCTGTAAGGAACACAAGATTTTACAGAAGTATACAAGAAAAACTACTAATGGGTTTAGATTTACAAGTGAACTTCATTTCAGCATTTCATTTATACCTGGTAAGGATTTAGGGGCACAAGAATACACATTAGGACAGCTGTCTAAACTAGATGGCTTGTTGCTGTTTGTATTTTGCACTTAACGATTGTTACGAGTCAAAACAAATCCAAGGTACAAGATCAGTTCACTAGAAGAAAGCTAAATATTCAAGAAATGGACCTTTGTAACTACTACTGTATGAAGATACTCACAGTTACTGCCAATGTTAAGGAAAAAACACTACATTAAATTGCATTTGGATTTCTCACCACAAACCTAAGCAGAAATCTAGAAACCAGGCATGAAAATTTTCCTAAATGTAAACCTCTCACAGATTTTGATACCCTAGGGAAGAAAATTTCCTAGTGAAAAAAAAAAAGAAAAAAAAAAGAAAAAAGAAGAAAATCCTAATTTGTGAAAGATAAGGCAGTTGAAATTTCTACAAGATGAGTCAGTCAAAATCCCAGACTGGTTTGGGTTGGAAGGGACCTCAAAGCTCATCCATTTCCAGCCCCCTGCCATGGGCAGGGACGCCTTCCACTAGAGCAGGTTGCTCCAAGCCCCATCCAGCCTGGCTTTGAACACTGCCAGGGTTGGGGCAGCCACAGCTTCTCTGGGCACCCTGTGCCAGTGCCTCAGCACCCTCACAGGGAAGAGCTTCTGCCTAAGAGCTCATCTCAATCTCCTGTGTTCTGGCAGGTTAAAGCCATTCCCCTTGTCCTGTCCCTACAGGTCCTTGTTCAAAGCCCCTCTCCAGGTTTCTTGTAGCACTGGGAGCTGCTCTAAGGTCTCCCTAGAGCCTTCTTTTCTCCAGGATGAACAAGTCCTGGCACACACATAGATTCACACTTGCAAAAGGTTTTTAAATGGAGGCTTATTTCAGCTGTAACTAAGCAGTGACAAGCACTTCTGTGGATGATGATTTGGAACCTACATATTAGAAAAAGTAAATCAAGTGGGTGAACGCGTTACAAGCCCACATAAAACAGTGCCTCCCTTCTAACTGAAAACAGTCTGGGTTTGAGCTAGAATGACTGCAGCAAACCCCTCTTCAACTTCAGTGTGTGTGGAATGGACTTGAGAAAGTTTGCAGACCTTATAAATTCTACAGGATGAGGGAAGAACAGAGCTTGGAGCCTGTAAAACCTGTAAACTGCTCAGAATGTCATCTGCGGAGACAGCAGGTGAAAATCTTTGTTCTGCGAAGTAAACAGTCAAAAATGCTTGGATGCTTCAATGAACTAAAGATTTCCCCTTCATAGCAGCAGTTTCTTGAACCCAGAAGTTCTGTCTTTCCCATAGGGTTTATGAAGTCATAGCTCAGAGGTGCTCCTTTTTCCCCCTCAAACGCTCCTGAAAGTGCACAGTAATCCTCCATTGCCTGAATCTCTTCTTCTACTTAGAAGCAAAAAAGAATTTCACTACTTATCCTATGTAAAAACATAGATTAAAACCAAAAAAACAACCCAAACCATTTCTGCCCTACTCCACAGGGTATTGAGCTCTCAGCAAAACACAGTTTCAGGTCAAAAGCTTGACAGTCAAGTAAACTAAGTGAAAGATCTCACAGCCTGGAATAGGCTACCGTGTGTATGAGTGGTGAGTGTGTGAGTGGTGTGCCACCATCTACTCTGTGCTTCTCGGAAGATACTGGAATTTCACTTTTCAACCCACAGGTTTTGAACACAGCAAACAATAAACCAGACTGCTCTAACAGCCTTTCTCCCCTAAAATATGTTTCTCTACCCTTCAATCCATTATCAGAGTGCAATTATTTCTTTCAGGAAAAGTGATCAGTACTTTTGTACTTCATTCACATGCAAAAGATATTTTAATGAGAAGATCCATCTCATTGTTTTCCCTCTGGAATCTCTCTGGAAAGGGTCCTTATACATTTCTCCTTTCTAAAATCTCTCCAAAACAGTCCTTATAACTCTCATTTAAGAACCTGACCATATATCAGAATTGCACCTAGGTGGGATACTTTACCACCTGACAACTCAGCACTCAAAATGGGATCACTGAACCATGATCTTGGGATGAAGCTGGGATAGGCCTCCCTAGGGCAAGAAGAAAGTGTTATTTAAGCACTTCACAAGATCAACATCTTCACATTCCTCAGCAGAGCAGAGAACGGGTTGATCAGGATGGCCCTCAAGGAGATGCTCCTCATATATTTGTTTTGGCTTGTGCCTATGACACTGAACTGTCTTGCCAATACTAAGAAACTGCATTTGCAGATGGACAGAAAAAGATGAACATAAACTACATATGACAAAAGGGGAAGGAACTAAATACTACCTTCACTGAAAATTACAGTATCTGGGAAAAAGGAAATTGAGACCTATGTCACCAAGAGCTTTTGTAATACACAGACCTCCGTGGAAGTACTTTCATTGTCAGAAAAGAGAATAAATTGGCAAGTGCATAACGAGATCAGGCATACAGCCATGAAAAGTTACAGGCTGTTGTTAACTATGGGGGCACAAATCTTAAAAGCCACGTGACCTGGGAGAACAAACTTGTGTATAGTTATTGCCTTTAAAGACTCCGTTCTTCATTGTGAAATGCTATTTTCCTTAGGAGAATTGAAAACATGCAATCAAACTCATTAGAATGAGAGATGCAGGTTGTGCAAAGGGTAATGGGATTTTGAAAATCTGGTCTTATTTTGAAGATATATTCCAGAAGGATTTCCTAACAACTTTCCTAATGGGAACTGAACCATTACAATTAAACCCCATACTTATCATTACTTGATATGGTCATCTGCCTAGGAATTGATCTTCCGCCATTCTAGACAGCCTTATCACAGTTGAACTGAAAATATTAAGTATAGATTTTGATCTACTTACTTGCATTCTCATACAGTTACGAGTTAACAGCTCTCAGTACCATGCCATCAGATTTTGCTATCCAAACTGGAAAAGGGGCTCTTAAAAAGCACTCAGTACTGGTTTACCACCTCTTTTACCAACCCCATTGGTAGTCCAACTTGATTCATACTATGAACAAAGAAGGAGGTTGTTCAGAATAGCAGCTTATGAGGGCTGGTATTTCACATGGGAGCTTCTGAATGACCACTAGCCCTCAGTGAGTGCACATAAGGGGGGAGGTGGCAGCTTTTACATTAGCCAGACCTGCATCACAGCTAAAAAGGACTTCAGCTTTAGCATTAATTAACAGCTGTAAGGAAACAGAGTGACTTTGAGAGTCCACAACAGAAATAAATACAAGTCCTAGCGCAAACTAACAGAAAATACTGAAGAAAGGGTTTCATACCTTAAATTCCTCCAAGATTTTGTAATTTTTCCCATGATATTCACAAAAGTTTTTCACTTCTTTGCATTCTGGACAGCATCCGTTGTGTTCCACTTTTGTACACTTTGGGTGGATTTTAGGGCATTCTGGCTGATCACAAACAGGTCCATCCTCAGTACAGACACAGGGACAGTTGGAATGCCCCGGGAAAAAACGTTCTCCCAGTTTGTACACAAAGCCACTGTCATCCACACAGCCCTTCCCTCGGTAGTCATCAAAGATCAGATTGTCATTGCTGGAGGTCTGGTCCCCTTCATCAGCAGGGTAGTCTTCATGATTGATGGCAGCTGGGGTGACCAAAGCAGGGATTACAAAAAGAAGCATCCAGGCATCATGGATACGAAGAGCCATCCCCCTCCTCAGCTGCTCCATAGGATCTCAATGCCAGATGGAAACAGCTGCTTCCATAGGGAGACCAGTGTTGTGGTCTGAAAACAAATATTTTTAAGTGAGAAAACCCTCAAAATTCTAATGAATAATGACTTATAAAGGCCATAGTTTCAACCAGCATCCAAGAATACATCAGTGCTTTCAAACTACACATAACTACATAACCACCACTGATTCTTTCGAATTAAGCTTCTTCTCAATTGTTGTTAAAGAGAATAAATAAAGCATACGGAATACATAAATTAGACACACATGCCTTTAAGCATACGTGCACAAAATATCTTCATAGAAATGGTGGCTCACAGAATCACCTTATTTTTACTGTTCAGCTCAATTTTGTGATGCACCAGAAACTAAACTAGCTGCCTGAAATTCTAGGGGGATAGGCAGCTCTGATTTCAACATAAGTTTAAGCATGTTGTGGCTACTGTTCCTCTGCGCTATGTATGGTGCACTGCCCACTTCATTAAACTGAGGTGGGAAACCTGAGTTGAGGTAAGCATGATCTGTAGATAGATCTGCCCCCAGTACGAAAGATGGTGCTGGGTTATACTTGGTCAATGAGCGGTGGAACAGCACGGAATTTTATATACAGCATTTCTGAAGAGGAAAAGGGACTACCTGGGCTACCAACACAGCCCAGCCTCTAGCAGGTACATATAATCCCAACAGAAGCAAAGATGTAATTCACTTTCTCCATTATTCAGCATGTCATTCCCAGAGAGAAACGCAGCGAGCAAGATGTTAAGTGTAATGCGTGTAGCTGCTGAAATGTGTTGCCTGATTAAGCTGGAGCCTTGTTAAAACTTTGGGAGTAATGCTGCATGGTCTGACCCTGGAGAGCTCTGCTGAAGTAGTCGAGCTGAGGACTGACCCAAAGTGGGAGAGGAGCTTTGCACTGCCCCCGAGGGAGAGAGTCATCTCCAGGCAAAGGCTCAGCACGTGTGTCGTGAGTGCACTGATGGCTGCCCATGGTGCCACCTCACTGCCACCAATGCACTATCCTACCTGCACACCCAACAGCCAGGGATGCCCCGGCATCAAAATGGTTTCTGACCTCTCCTAAGAGAGCTGCGCAAGGTATTGGAGGAAACTTTTACATGAGATGAAATACTAGTGCTATGCAGATTAAGGAACACTGGAGGCAGCTCCTGGCACAGACCAAAAATGGACTGGTTGGAAGTGTGGCATTCCTTCTGTTGCTCCGTTCCTGTATCATGCACACACAGCTACACACAGTATATACAAACATGCATTAAACTACACACATGCAGGCAAAAACATACTCCCCTTCCACCCTTCTGGGAGATCTTTTTATGTATTGGGATTTTTGGTGGACTGCAGATGTTCAGCAATTAATTCTCCCTTAACTGAAGCTAAAAAGCAGCAGCAGGAGGAAGAAGGTTTAATCTCAAAGAAGCAGCTAAGGGATCCTGTTGACAAAGCAGTTTTTCCAAAGCCACAACAGAGGGAGACACCAGATATTACACAAGCTTTATCAAATTCAAAAGGTATCTTATTAATTGAAGTACTAGCTATGCTTCCATCACAAGGATTATGCACCCTGTTACTACTATCAGCAATATCGTAACATGTTGTTTGGGAATCAAGTGTTTCATGCAGATGTGGCTGCTTTATGCATCATCTCCAGAGTTGAGAATCTCACCCACCTAAATGCTACAGGTAGGCTGCAACATTGCAGACTGGGGGGCATTCAGAAGGAAAAAAAAAAAAAAAAAGCAGAAGCAAATGAAGTAATTCATGTCTGGGGAAATGTGAAACAATTGAGAGAATCTGTTGAAGTTTCGATGAGGAAGCTCTGCAAATCATATATATACCATATATATTAAAAAGTTCTCCAAAGATCATAAATAAAACCACTATATTTTGCTACAGCACCTGAGCTGTCCCACAGCAACTCACAAGGGCTCTGCTCAGCAGCGATCCTGGACGTCAGACAGACTGCAGACGTCTTGCACAGGCAGATTTCAACAAGTAAACAAACGCTGCTCATCTCGGAATGAGTTTATAGCTGAACTTTCTTATCATTTCTCATCATGAGAGAGGCCAGCATCGTAGGCAAGTCTCTGAGTAAAACATTTCCACCCGCCTTCCCTCACCCCAAGTGAATAATTTACACTTACCTAATCAGGCTCGATCTGAAAGCTGAAAGGGGTCACAGGCCAACATGGACTAAAAGGTTAGAAACAGATTAGTAAAAGCAGTTCGTCCTAATCACATTTTCAGTGTTGACTCACGGACAAGCCCTTTTCCTCCACCTCCCATTGCAAAACACGGGAAAGCAGCAGCCCAGCAACCACAACGTGAGAATTAAGCTTTAACCCAGCGTTCAAGATTCAAAGCGAGCAGCGGCGAGGCGGTCCAGAGGCTGGGATGCCGCTGAGAAACCCCGATGCCAGCAGCACAGTCATCGCGGCGAACTTGGGCTGGATTTCCTCAGGTCTTGGAGAGGGGGAAGGACCGGGGGGGTGGGGGAGAAGAGAAAAAAAAAACCATATACATCTATATATCCCCTCCCTATGCCCAGCGGATCTCTTGCGCTCCAAGATTTGCCACGGCGAGGGAGGGAGGGGGGGGGAAAGGGGGCTGGTTATGCTGTGGGCAGGCGACAGAGGGGCGGCAGAGGAGCCCCGCGGCCGGCGGGCGGGCAGCCCCCGCTCCCCTGCGGGGACTTCCCGGGCCGGGGGCCGGGCATGCCCGCTGCGGACTGCGCCGCTCCGCGCTCCCGCCTCTTATTATTGGAATGAATTATAATTGTGGTAGGAAAAGAAGGGGGGGAAAAGAGGGAAGAGGGGGACGAAACATAAATAAATCCGTCTGCGGAGCGCTCAGGCCCGCGGGCGCGCCATGGCCGCTGTGCCCGCGGGCGGGCGGCGGTATTTCCGCCGCTCCCCGCCGCCGCTCGCCCCAAGTCCTGCTCGCTGCTGCCGGCGTCCGGAGCTTGTGCTGCGGGGGGAGCGCCGCACCCCCGCTCTGTCTGCATGATTAAAACTTCACATCTTCCCCGTGGCTGGCACCGCGGAAGGTGCGCCCGGCTCTGGTGTCGCGTGTGGTGCTACATTAAGAATCAATCTCCTTGCAGTTCGGCTGCTCTGTCATTAGGCGTCATTGTAAAGCTGTTTCTCCAGGAAGGACCAAGAGAGAGTCTTGATGTTCGGAAAAAAACAAGAGTGTCAACAGAAAGAGGGAGAAATTGGGGTTTTTATTTGGATAAAATACAGAATAATACTCCTTTCGGGCTGTTATTCCCACTGCACACATTAACTATGAAAACAATTTACTAAGCCCTCACTGCTCTCTTGTCGAACCGTTTTTTCCCATGAGATTAAGGTTAGGTTCAGCAGCGTGCTGGTCCTCATTTCCAGAGACAAACCTTACCGTCAGCACCCCCGGAGAGCAGCAGCCTTGCCCGGTGATGGAAGCCAACGCTGTGCACTTCGCTGCTGTGGCCCCGCAGGCTGGATTGCTGCCCAGCTGCAACTTGCAGAACCTTAACGGATCCATCGCCGCTCGCCAGAGCCACGACCTGACCTGAAATTCAGGGGAAGGTTATCGAGGTTTGCAAAGGCAAAGCAAGACAACGGTGTTGGGAGTTTTGAGATCATCGTTTTAAAGATGTCCATGCACGCTCCTGTTGTCTGAGATAAATTATCGGAGAGTTGGACAGATCAATAAAGATGAGATTGGATTTTGGAGTGATTAAGTGAATCTGGAAACCCCAGCATGCTACTCATTAGGAGCACAGCTATTTTCCTTGTATTTGGATACAATTATTCAGGCCCAGATTCTGAACCAGAGACTGAGCACAAAAGAAGTAGATGCTGTTCAGATACTTGGAGGTATTAGCATCAGACTGTGCTCTTAATACTGCTTTTCTTGTACAGGTCTGTAAGAAATGAAGATCACAGACTCATAGAATGTTTTGGGTTGGAAAGGACCTCCAAAGGTCATCTAGTTCAACCTCACTGCAATGAGCAGGGACATCTTCAATGTGGGTTTTCAACCAGGTGTCAAGGATGTCAGGTATCTGGTTGGACTTGATGATCTTAAAGGTCTTTTCCAACCTAGCTGATTCTATGAGTCTATGATTCAATCTAGCTGAACTGAGTGCCTTGTTCCCTTACACCCTTAAGGAAAATGAGGCTAATAAAACTGTTAATATAGAATTCGGGATAACAGTAGAAAAAAATTAAAGAAAACCTAAAAAAGTGTCTAATGAGTGCCCATATGTTTATTTATGAACCAAATGGACTCAATTTTCATAAAATTATAGAATGGTTAGGGTTGGAAAGGACCTTAAGATCATGTAGTTCCAACCCCCATCACTCAAGGAGGCTCATAAGTTTATTATCTTCCTGCTTAAATAAAAGCTGGTAAGTGATATGTTTGAAGCACCTTTTACTTGCCCAGACACCAGCTAAAGAGTCTCTCTTTTTAGAAATTAACTACAGGAATCATGAGTTTCATGTACAAAAACAAATAAAAAGAGGATCAATACATTCATTTCAAGGCTGATGTGGGCCTCCCAACAATGGGATCCTTGCACTGCCAGTCCTCATCTTGGTCAAACACCTTTTCCTATTCGGAGCAAGTTCAGTATACCCTCCAAATGATTACAGCTCTTTTTATATGTATCAGGATTTTCTCTCTGAAAGCAAAGTCATAGCCAGCAGAGGAATAATTAGTATCGACTTTGACAAAGTCAGTCTGGCACCGATGTCATCATTTTTTTTAAGATTATGAAAAACTGAAGTTATTTGCTATTTTTAGTCATTCAGATTATTCACCAAGTACCCAATGGGAACCTATTGCCAACAGAAGTTAGCATGGAGGAATCTGTCCCAGTTTGAATGATGCACAAGCCGTAGGGCCTTCGGTGTGCCTATGTCATGTACAGGGAATATATCCAGGGAATATATTGTCCCTCCATTCAAAGCAATTCTTAACAATGATGTTCTCTGCTCTGCTCATTGAGATCTGATGATTTCATTTGGCAGCCTGGGAAGTAAACAACTGCCCTTTTCTCTATTTATCCAAGGAAACATACAGCCAAAAAGATCTTACAAATGTGCTGAGAATATTTAATCACAAGTTATGCTTAGCGTGGTCATGGATATTTGTGCAAGAAAGAGAACTAGAAAGTAGAACTAACCATGATAAATATGCCCTATTTGCAAACCTTTATAACTACCCAGCTTCTTCGTCTAGAACAAAGCCTGACACAGCAAAGATCTGTAGGATGGATTAGAGTGTCCAAAGGAGCAGATGTGAATATTTATTATAAAGTCTTCCAGCAATTCTTTGCTGACAGAAGCATTGCATATGGATTTCACTTGCAGCCAGACTCTCCAGGCAGTCGCTGGGATGACTTCCGTAGGAGCCAAACAAATGCCATTTCGCCTGGAGCCCTGACACCACAACAGCTGGGCAGGGGGTTAATGTCACTTTCAGCTTCTCAAACAAAATAATGAACCCACTCCTTACAAAGAGAGAGGTTCCGGAAGGAGAAAAGATTTAGACAACAGCAGTTAACATCCAGAAAGTAAGGGCAAGACAGACTAATAACTGAGACAACAGCTTCCATGTCTAACTCACCCCCTCACACCCTCCCCAGTGTTTTTAAACGCTTTGCTAGGTAAGTCATACACCTGAAGCAAAATCACAGCCCTCTCACCCAGCCTGTCCATGCCAGTATCCCGACAGTACTAGGAAATGACAAAACCAATAGAGAAGAATAAAAACCAACTAGCAAGGAGGTGCAGTAGTAAACTGCACATGCTTTCATTGCCCGTACGTGCTGGGGAAAGGGTTTAGGTGTATGAAGCAGCCCTGATGCAGAACGATTCTTTTCACAGGAATTTTTGTTATCTGAGTTATGGTGTATTACTGTCGTGACTGTGAGCACAGCCACTGCCTTACTCAGTAGCAGCCACATGCACAGGCAAATATGTGTGAGAGGGAACGAAATGGGAGGGGAAAGCACAATATAAGAACATCTCATTTCACTCACCCTTTATGTCAACACTGATCTATGCGCTCATAAGAATTTGTTCATTATAATGCAAATTTACTCCCTCCTTCTTTCCAAAAGGAGATGTTTCCTTTTGGAAAGAGAGAACAAATTGTGTTTTATTGCTCTTTCAAAATGTTCTCCAATTAGGAAAGCAAACAAAAACTATTACATAATTGTCATGCAAAGCTCTCTTTTAATGAAGAATATGTACTTCTGCACTGACAAAGGCACTTTGATACAACACGCAGAGGAAGGTAAAAGCCTGGAGATAAATTTTCCTTCATACCTTTGACCAAACTGTCAGGTGGGGCTGGTCTGTGCAAACCCACTGAACTCAGCAGTTACACTGATTTGCATTGAACGGTTTCTTGCTTAGAAGATGTAGAGCCTCAAAGACTCTGATCTCCAGATCTCACAGCCTCTAGATCTCCAGCTCTTGAGGCTTCCAAAAAGCCTGCTCTGGATCTGTTGGTGCACCTCCCAGACAGGCAACACAGGGAGCTGAAATGAAGCTGTGCTTTGGCTGGCCCCACACCATTCCCGAGCTCATCCTTCTTCCTCAAACTGGCAGACAGGAGTGATGACAAAGCATCAACGGATGCTTTTGTTGCCACAGCGGAGAGACATACAGTAGCAGCTTTTGTACGAATTATAGTTGATTTGCTGTTGTGCATTGCAAGAACATAGGTACTAATTTTTCTGATGTATCCCTATTATGTCCTTAGAATAACATAAGCTCTGACCATCTGGTTATTTGCTTCAGAAAGGATGCAGTGAGTTAGAAAAGTTAGAGAGAGAAAGCCAGCAAAGGCAAATAAAGGTATAAACAACTTCTGTGCAAGGAATCATTGACAGGGATAACAACTTACCCCAGAAAAAACTATTTGTGCACTAAAATGTACTTGGCTGATCATGCTTTCTCCATATGCAAACCTCAAGCTTCAGTCAGCCTGTGACATCACCACTGCTTCCCTCCCTGGGGACCCATAAAGAAATCCAGAGCTGAGACAGACCGCAAACTACCACTCAGATGGTGTGGGTGAAACACGGAGTTTCCATCAAAATGCTACTCTGACTCCTGGCTAAATGGGAGCTGCAAGGCAGCCGAAGCTGTCAGGAGCTGTGCAGCATGGGACAGGGTATTTCTGAACAGTCACCTCGCTCCTTGGACGGAACTGAATTTCCTCTGAGCAATCAGTGCTCTTCAGCTCCCTTTTCCCACCCAGCATTTGCGTAAGCTACCTCTGTAGGTTTCCAGTCCTGGTGTCCTACAGAGAAAAAACTCTGTCCCTGATCTCATGTGTGCTACCTCGCCAAGCTGGCAAGGCTCTTGGTTTTAGGCACTGATTAATTACAAATCCAGTGCTGTTGTTTGGGCTGGAAATACATTTCTATTTAAACCAAAAATCACTCATACCCTTCTAGAGAAACTATTTCTATTGCTACAACCATATCCCTACATTGTTTTGAAACCAGAATGGGATGCTGAAATTATTCAGTACCTCAAAAGATGTGATTGGTTTTAAGACATGCACCCCGCTTTGGAGAATGAGGTACTTAAAATTAATTATCTTGTATGGAAGTCTGGCCCTGCACATTTTCCAAATGTACACCAAGTTACAGGCCTAAAAAATGCCATAAGCATAAAGCATCAAAAGCTAGAATCTGACAAAAAAGAAAAAAAAAAAAATTTTACTGGAGTCTCCACACTGACCTAAACATGCTTAAAACCAAAGTTACTACATTCAGTGAAGCTCAGTACATATTAGTAAGCAACATGCTTTTTCTCATCTGCAAGGAACTTTGCATACCTGTGCTGCTATACAAATACTAACAAATCCAAAGCTACTCCGGGAATACAATATGAGATCCATCTCCTGATTTGAACTGGTGGATACATTTAAAATAGTCCTGGTATGTTGAAGCAATCTTATTTGTTACTGCATTTCATCAGAAGGCAAAACTATACAAGATTAATTTGCTGGGTTGATGGAACCAAATTACTTGGGGTGGAGGGAACAAAACCTGTACTTGTCAGA